GTGGGAGGTGTCCCTGCCATGGATGGGGTGGCACTGGCTGATCCTTAAGATCCTTTCCAAGTCCTTCTATGATTCCATGATTTCCCATAAGTAATCAGGAAGTTTCCACCCAAGCTGGGAATTCCTGGAGGTTTTCTTTTCAAAGCTCTGCTAACAATGGTACTTTTCCACTTGGGATGATTCCAGGCTGTGATATTCCAAAGCCTTCAGGAAATAAGGGATTATCTCTCGTTCCTCGCCTTGCTCAGGCAACTGGGGCGCTTGACAGGGACAATTCTCCAACCTTTTCCATGCACAAGTCCCTGGTGTGGTCAAGGGACACTTCACCATCCAGGTGGGAATTCCTGAGGCCCCCCAGCAGCTCCAAGGAAGGGGAAGCTGGGGGGATGCAGCACCACAAGTGGAAGTGGTTGAGGAGTTCCAGGTTTCTCCATGGATGTGGCTCGTGGAAGGGGTTGTGTTGTTGGATGTGATTCTTGAACTGGAGATTTTTGGGTAAAAAAAAGCTGGATTTTAGGTCAGGACTAGAAATTAGTCCAGTGTCCAAAGGGAGACAAACACCCATCCTGGACGGATCCATCTCCTTCCAGGGCAAAAATATTCCTTTGAATTCATTTTCCAGAAAGAGAAACCAAAACCCTGCCTCAAGGAGCAGAATGGGCCAAACTCCAACTTTTGTTTTCCTGTGAGGATTTCAGCAGGATTTAATTTCTTATCAGCTCTCACAGGTTCTTGCACAGAGCGCACAAAACGTGCTCAGGCCATGAGTTCGTCTTCTCAGAAGTATTTGTGATTCATCCCTGATAATTCCATGTGCTCGGGGAAAACGATCCCAAAAAATAGTTCGTAAAGCTCAGGTTGGCAGCCTGGGATGGTTTCCCATCAGGTTCATTACTTCCATTTTAATTACCTACTATTAATGCAGCAAGAAGCAGTTGCTGGGCCTGGATTCTGTCCCAAAGCAGCGCTGCGCGTTGTGCTTGGAGGCACCTGGAAAAGTCAAAATATTGCCTTGGTGTCGCTGTCGAGGCAGGATGGGAATGAGAAGACTCTGACCAGAAGGCTGCTGAGAGTAAAACTCCAATTTATTCAAAATACACTGCTCTTTTATACAGAGCTTTTTGAGGACCAAATCCATTGGTTCTGAAATGAAAACAACCCACAGCATTGGTGCAAAGTGCTTGACGCACAGTGATAGAAATTCACTATAAACAATGTGAAAAACAAGAGAAATAAAGAATTATTTGCATTCTTTCCCAGCACTTTCCCAGGTTTCTGCCTGGCTAGAAACTCTGTTTCTTCCTTTGAATCTGAGCCCCACACCTTGGAAATGAAGAGGGATGGAGAAAGGAAAAAAATCCTATGGTAACATTTTGTGTTATGGGAATTATGA